GTCTGTCACAGCTAAGCTCTAAAACACACACACGCACGCACACACACGCGCGCACGCACACACGCACACACGCACACACACACACACACACACACACACACACACACACACACACACACACACACACACACACACACACACACACACACACACACACACACACACAGTGTTTGAACTCCCCAAGAATCTGTGACAAAATGTGAATAATTGATCAATAATCCCAGTGCAGTTGTCTATGAGAGGATAAATATTAAAGAGGTGTTTGTGTCATTTCTCTAAGAGTTTGCCCTGAATCTAGTCTTCCAGGCTCTGACTTCAGACTGGTGAAAGGACAGAAAAGAGATAAAAGGAGGAGAGAGGGGGAAACAGAGCTGTCCAGCACAAGAAGCAGGGAGAGAGAAAAGTGGCGATGAATGTGTGTGGAGAAAATGACAGAAGGGTGGGGGTGGGGGGTCAGATTAAAAGAAGGAGTTCAAGAGAAGGACAGGCTCAGTGGTCTGATGTTTAAATCCTGATCCAGCTCTCAGCTCACATCCGGACCAGGATTTAACTGAGACCACACTGCAGAGGGGACAGGAGAGGACTGAGGAGACTGTAAAACAGAGAGAGGGAGACACAGAGAGAGAGATAGATGGGGGGGTGGGGGGGGTAATGTCTTTCACTCATTCATGAATACATTAAAATATAAATTTTAACACCATTAACCTTTCCCTTTACATTTTTTCTGCCTGTCACATCAAACAACTCACACTAATTTATTGAAAGAAAGAGGCAACCTCCCGTGTTGAAAAGAATGAAGCCAATGTGGAAGAGCAAAAAGCTGCAGTTCCTGAAGTGTCCACTTGAGGCTGGCTGCAAAGGCAAAGGAAGTCGCATACAGGACTGTGTTCAAGGGGCCATGTTACAGCAGAAATAAACATGATTACAGCCTGGTGCTAAAAAGGAAACTTAACAGTTCAAATGTGATAATTATAAATGATGCTGGTATAAGCTTTGTTAGCAACATAGTCCAAGAACTGAACGTCCATCATAAGACCAGAGACGTGATTCCTAGCAGCAGTAGTGCCTACAAACTGGTCAAAACAATCCAATATTATGTTTTGTATTCTGATGAACATGAGTGGCTGTGTTTGAGTGTGGAGACAGCGAGCGGTTGTGTTAGCAGCACCAAGAAGAAAAAAACACAGAAAGAAAATCGATATGAAATGTTTAGACCCCTGTTTGTCACTTTGAACAGTATCAGCACCTGCATGTGTTCTGCATTAATGAAACCACTCACCTACACCCTGTGTGTGTGTCTCTATGTGTGTGTGTGTGTGTGTGTGTGTGTGTGTGTGTGTGTGTGTGTGTGTGTGTGTGTGTGTGTGTGCGCACTGGTATTTTACATCAGAAAGAAGTACTCATTTAAATGCATGTTGGAGAGATCTTAAGTACCTCAGTGAGAGCGATAGGTGTCTGTGTGTGTAGGTGTGTTTGTTTGTGTGTGTGTGTGTGTGTGTGTGTGTGCGTGCGTGCGTGCGTGCGTGTGTGTGCGTGTAAAGAGGCACTCCAAGTATCAGGGGGCCTGGCATCGCCAAGGGTAACAAGGTGGTATGCTGACAATCACACACACCCACACACACACTCCCGCCGTGAGTTCTCGTGGGAATGTCTGATTGGCCGCTGTGAGCCTGCTGGGATGCTGGGTTCCCGTGACGATTGTAACCAAGCGATAACACCAGCCATCTGACCCTCTTAATGTCTTGGTGTGTGTGTGTGTGTGTGTGTGTGTGTGTGATGCCATCTGTGCTGCTGGCTCAGGGGAGAGGCAACAAACAGTGATTAAAGCAGAGACAAAGAGACAAGAAAGAGAAAGAAGGAAAGAAGGAAGGACAAAAAGAAAACATACAAACAAATAAACAAACACCAAATAGATCAGAAAACGACTCGAGGGGTTGACCGATTATCATCCTGTATCGATCTGTATCAGCTTTTTATTTTATTAATGCAGATCAAATTCATTAATCAAAAAATGTGCTACGATGGCTCCACTGCAGGTGTGTCTGTCTCACCTGTTGTCCCGCCCACAACACTACCTGATTGGCTAGAAGCTAGTCAGTTGATTAGTTAGTTAGAAACTAACATAAGCGAGACACGATTTCTTCAAGTAGTAGCGTATCTGATGTTTTATTAGTCAGAGAAAATATTCAGATCATCGGTTAACGAGTCATAAGATCAGTAAGTTTGTTTACATAAGTTTATATCCATCCATCCATTATCTATACCGCTTTTCCTGTTTGGGATCGCAATGGGGCTGGAGCCGATCCCAGCTGTCATTGGGCGAGAGGCGAGGTTACACCCTGGACAAGTTAGTCCCATAGACTGTAAATATTAAAATCCTGAGTGACATCACCCATCTGTTACAGCAGGGGGCTTTGGAGGCTCATCGATGGCGGTCTCCATGCCTAACTTTCAGTCAACCTAACAACAGGCTGAGAGCTGAAGCTGAGGCAGGTTTTAAGCCTCCTGCCAAACCGTTACACCGCGCCCACCTGTCAATCAGGTCAGCCTATGGATATCTCGTATCCTTCATAAACCAGACAGACCAATATCGTTTTGTGTTAATGTTAATTTCTTCTGTATGTTTATGTGACTTCCTAGGTAACCTCGAGCTGACAGCCGTAGATCTGTTGTTTTTTGCACTTCCGCATTAGCCTCAATTTCAACACCGGAGGTTGCTGCTTGGTTAGTCCTTTAGTTAAGACTGTTGTCGTCAAGGGCAACAATTAAACGCAGGAAAGGAAATACAGATCAGATTAATTATTCAGGTTTCACATGATCAGGAACAACCACAATCAAAAAGAGAGTGAATCAAACTGTAGGCACTTTCTGTTGGCCTGTGTTGTCCTACACACACACACACACACACACACACACACACACACACACACACACACACACACACACACACACACACACACACACACTGAGCTGCTGGTCCATTTAGATGGCAGAGTGTTTTTATTGTGCTGACTCAGATGTTCTGCAGACTGGCTGAGCTGTTCATATATTCATGTCTGTGTTTGTTTGTGTGTGTGTGTGTGTGTGTGTGTGTGTGTGTGTGTGTGTGTGTGTCTGTGTGTGTCTGTGTGTGTGTGGCGGTAACTGCTGTCAGACCACATGACGAACTGAATTTTAACCCGGACACAAACAACGACACAACACAACAAACAGTGAGTCTGCCAGAGCGCCGCAGCTCCTGCTGTTCTCTCAGCTGTGACTCGGTGTGACTGAAATTCCAACTGAGCAACACAACAGGAGCAAAGCATGCTGGGAAACATTCACCGAATCGCTGCACATTGTTAGAGCTCAGGTAACTCAGGTGCTTTCACAACTTGTCAGTGTTATTAAAACATGGAGGCACATGTTGCAGGTGTGGCATTTGTGGGAGCCGTAAACATTTGACTAGGAAACACATTTTTAAAGACCTCTGGAAACTTGTTGAGTCACATATTTATAGAAGTGAAATAAATCCTTGTTCATATTTAAGAAACTTTTTGGCTCTACTTGAATTGGATTCATGGTTGCCAGTCTGACATGCTGTATTTATTTTTGTCACATCAAGTTGCACTAAGCTGCATGTTTTTTTGCACATTTGCAAATTTCTCCACAGGGACAATTAAGAATATCTCGTCAAAAAATAAGACAATTTCAAAACAAAAAAATCGAATCAATGTTAGTTATGTTGTTATTTTTGTGTCTTTCTTTAGAGATAGGACAGTGGATAGAGTCAGAAACTAGGGAGGGAGAGAGAGCGGTGAACAACATGGGGGAAAGGAGCCACAGGTCGGATTTGAACCTGGGCAGACTAAAGCCTCCGTACATGGGGAGTGCACAAAGAGGCGCTGTTTGTCAAAAGGCAAGGCAGGAAACTGTTTGGATCCCTAGGCCAGTAGAGGTCTCTCAAGGGCTGACAAACCACAGCAGTGGCTCAAAATGGCAAATTTTGCAATGACAGTAGGAAACCTCCCAAATCTGACAGCACTCCCTCTCATTGATGTGATTTTAAAACCAACGTTTGTCAATGAAAGTCACCAAAGGATCTTAAAGAGGAATTATCCATCTGGGAGTGAATAAAGAGAGAAAGATGAAGACAAGTAAGTGTCTGTAAACTGGATATAACAGTGATGAACGCCGTCTGGAGGGGCCCCCGATGAATTTTTGCCTAAAGGGCCCCAACAGACTCTTGAATCACCACTGGCCGCACGCACTAACTATGGGCTAAATCTTTTTTTGGCCTGGTGCTAAAGACTGGGGACACATACTGTCCCTGGAGGCGGTTAAAACATTAAACGTTGGGCACAGCGTAAAAACTGTAAAGACTGTAAGAGACACGAGAAGCAGAACACCTCTCTTAGAACACGTTTTTTTGCACATATTTTCACAACAATTGGTAAAATATACAACATGAAGAAATGTTTAATTTTTACATGTTTTTGGAAGGAATCTTGCGACCCACCTGTCAAGGGGGTCCTGACCTACTTTTGGAACTAATGCACTAAACTAAGTCAGCGAAATTAAACGCTCAGTGAGCGAAATCTGCCATGTGATGAACAGAAGTTTGTAAAAAGACGAGACTGAAGCTTCTTCCTCAAACATCAAAATGAGTTTGACTTTGACTCACTCAGATCTGTTACACTTTAGCTGTTACAGCTGATTAAACACATCTCACTACTGCAGAAAAATGCAATAAAAACAAACGTAAACAAAAGTTGGAAATCAAGTGATGTCACAGTAAAGCAGCGAGGTCCCGAAGAAAATGAAACCATGACAGCAGTGAAGAGAACAGGTGATGACAGAAAGGTGGTTTTATCAATGAGCATTGACAGGGACACCGCCTCTATCAGCTGTGTGTGTGTGTGTGTGTGTGTGTGTGTGTGTGTGTGTGTGTGTGTGTGTGTGTGTGTGTGTGTGTGTGTGTGTGTGTGTGTGTGTGTGTGTTAGAGAGAGAGAGCTCCTACCTGGCTCTCGGAGCAGCAGCTGAGCCATCGCCTGCGAGCTGCCGGCTGAGTTTTCCGCCACACACTGATAAAATCCTTCATCTGACTTCACTAAACCCAGAATCTGAAGGTTACTGCCATCCTGCAAAAAAAAAACACACACAAACAACAGGTCAATAAAACATTTGAAAACACACAACAAACACCGGCTCTGAGCATTTTAAAAAGTAGTAAAAACCAACACAAAGAAAGAATGGAAAGTGTGTGAATGTGTGTGTGAATGTGTGTGTGTATGTGTATGTGTGTGTGTGTCTGTGTTTGCATCTCTGTACAGCAGATCAGAGGATAACAGATCAGAGCGATATTCAGATTATTGGATTATGAAAGTACGACAACAGAGTCATGTCACACCCACTGATCTGATTCTCTCATTTTCTTTCTTGTTAACACAGTTAAGACTCTATTTGTTATCTGTTATAATATTTGACCTTTACTGCTGAACAACTGTCTCAGCGTTAAGGTACTTAAAATAAACACTTCCTGCAGCTGTTTCACACTAAAAGACCAATTACGGACACCCTACTTTCTGGTGCATATCATCTCTCTTTTTGGCAACATAGTGATTTTAAAGATCACATATTATGCAAAATCCACTTCCCCATGTTTCTCTAACACTAAAATGTGTCTCTAGTCTGTCTACAAACCCCCAATGATGAGAAAAGTCCATCCTCTCCGTCTTCTGCCTGCTCCACTTTTCAAAAAATGTGTGCTCAAACAGGCCGTTTGGAGATTTTCTCTTTATGACATCACAAAGGGCAGTAACCCCTCCCACAGGCGGGTGACACTCCCACAGCTAGGTGTTTGTTCTGCCCTCTGAGTCTGCCTTCTCACTGTAAACAATAGAGCATGGAGCGAGAAAGACCGAGTACACCCAAGCCCTTCCAGAGAGGGGGTGTGGTCAGACACAGCCCATTTACATATTTAAAGGTACAGACACAGAAACAGCCTGTTCTGAGCAGGGCTGAAATAGAGGGGTTTATAGACATGATCAAATACAGGATCAGTGTGGATTTAGAACAAGAAACTTCACACACATGTTTTGAGGAGTTCTGAGACTTATTTAAACTGTTTGATGAGGAGGAGGATATGTGACCTTTAAAGAGAACGTATGTATATGTCACATTTCTGTTGAACTCACCACTATCTGAAAATAGTCACTGGGGATGACTTCTTCTCCGTTCTTTATCCAGCGGACGGTCGGCGGAGGATTTCCAGTCACGGCACACTCCAGCTCGATGTCGGTGGACTCGTAGGCGTACGTGTTGGTCGGGTAGTTGAGGAACTGAGGCGGCACTGCAAGAAACACACAAACAACATAACAATTACCACAGAGAAACTTTTAATTCCACCATATCGTCGTCTCTCCTGAGTGTGCATCAACAAGTGAACCAGCTCCAGTGTCATCACTGTCAGCAATGTTGTTCAGAATAACTGTCTGTTTTTCCTTCAGGACTCTTTTACACCAGCGTTTCTGTAACAACCTCAGCTGATTGGAAACTAATTAACATAATTACAATCTGAGTCGTGAGCTTATTACGGAGGAGCAGAAAGTGTCTGGTCTCATTAGCCTCCGCGGATCATTATCTGCTGATTTTCTTGTAATTTGAGTTGATTTGATTTGACCTTACTCTGCAAACAGACAGTTAAGAGTGAAATCCCAGCTCAGAGTCAAACTAAAGTACAACGGCAGCAAGAGATTTAAGAACATTAATGAAGCAAGTAAGAGAGCTTTACTGTATATATATCACATCTCTATATATCACATCTTTATTCATCACATCTTTGAAACCCTGAAGGGAAAGAAACAGCTTTTTGAATTCTCTGGTGGATTTTTAAGAGCTAAAAGGTCATTTTTCTTGGTGCAGTATACAACATGATGACTAGTGTCTATGTGACTGAAATAACATCCACACAGAAAAAGTTGTGCAATTATAAATATGTTCTCACAAGATCGAGGCAATAATTAAAATATGTTCATAATGGGTTTTCAACATGTTGCATTTCAAATGGTATGCTTCGCTGCCACTATAGGACAGTTATTAACAATGTTTACAGTGCAGAAATACTTTTTGAATACTACTGTTCAAAAAGGATTCATGTTCAGATGGAAAAGTTTCCAGGAGGACCACAAAGTCAGGTTGAGTTTTTAGGAAAAGTTTCACATGCAGACTAATGCATGCAATGGTCCAACATCAACACCGGCTGATATCGACCCTGTTGACAGACATCGGCACGACAGCCAATTATGCAGCATAAACCGATGTCAGTAGCATCTAGTCCACATAAGTACTGATTCAGAGAAGAGGTTTTGTATCGTTCTTTTCTAGTCTTCTGACTACTCAAAGCTCTTTTACACCGCAGGTCACACCTACACATTCACACACTGATGGTAGAGGCTGCAGTGTAAAGGGACCATCAGAAGTAACTAATCCATTCACACACTGCCGACAAAGCAGCTGGAGCAACTTGGGGCAATTGTTTTTGGTTTTCTTTTAAAGCTCAATATTTGCTATGAAAAATACATTTGACACTCCTAATAGTCAAGGGGGGGAGGTGGGTGAAGGGGGTGAGGCAGCTGCCATGTTCAAGCTCTGTTGTTGCTCGGTGTCGACGCTGAGAGCAGGGATGTGAGACAGGAGCCATTTTGAGCCTGAACAGACATGAGAACGAAGCCTGAAGGGCCTCATGTAGCAGCGAGCGCTACAGTGACACTGTCAGCGCTGCGAGACAACAAACAATATGTCTGTCAGCAACCACAGATACACAACAGACCACACACACACACACACACACACAACCAGAAGAGGAATGTCCTGTAAGTGTCAACAAACAGACACACACACATATTCATGATGTCACGGCTTCCGGAGCACGGATAAATATAAACAAACACGGAGAGAGAATATAACACACACACAGTTCATTGTCGAATAGGTCAGGACAAAGGAAAGGAGGGATGGAAGAAAGGAGGGATGGAAGAAAGGACCGAGAGGAAGGAGGAAAGGTCATATGATAACTTCTACATGACCTCAGTCTATAGTTCACAGGTCATGAACTGGAGGAAAGAGAGGAGGAGATACAAAGAAAAGCAAAGGAGACAGAAGATAAGCGGAAGAGAGAGGGAATACAATATGAAAACAGGATGAGAAAGATGGATGAAAGAAGAGAAAGAAAGAGAGGAAGGTGTAAAGTTAGTAGAGGAGGCGAGTCGTGTGTCTCCATCGATACATCATTATGTGGAGGTGTAACTTTATCAGCGCAGTAATGCTCTAATTAAGAGCCAACGATTTCCTTTAAACTCAGAGCTGCTGCTGCTTCAACACAACATGTACACAAACACACAAACACAGAGGGCTACACAGGGAGGGCTGTGGCAGGGTCGGCTGCAGCTCAATGGTAGTGTCGGTCGTTTCTCAACTGGGAGGTCGGGGGTTTGATCCCCAGCTCCTGCAGCTGCATGTCCCATGTTTCTTTGGGTAGGACACTTAAAGACACTGAAGCTACAGACCAATCACAGATCAGTGGCTGGGACCTCACTCGCAGAATCTAAACGCAACGTCGGCCATCTTGCTTGGAAGCTATGCTAACAGGCTCTGTGGAGGAAGCTGAGAAGAACAGACAAAGTATGTTTCAACTTCAAAGTGATATGGATGAAGAGGATTTTGAAGGTCCTTTGCTCGAATCGGATGTTCGCAATATAGTGATGTTAGCGTTGAGGCTGATGGAGGAACAGGAGGCGGCTGCTGTGCATTCTGGGAGTTGTTGTCTTTTATCCACATGAGCCAAAAAGACACTTTCAGCTTTTTCCCCGTCAAAAAGGCACCTACTTCACATATCTACTACATATATGACCCAATTTCAATACAGATTCATGTTTCAACCTGTGAAGTATCCCTTAAACCCCAAGTTGCTCCCGCTGCTTCAGCATCTACGGGTAAATGTGTATCGACGTGTATATGTATAATGAATGGATGTTAGTTAATAGATGGACACTTTACACAGCAGCCTCTGCCATCAGTGTGCGAATGTGAAGTGTGTAAAAGCGCTTTGAGTGGTCAGAGGACTAGAAAAGCACCATAACATGTTTCCAGGAATTAGACTGAACCCCACAGAAACGAGAGGAGACATCTGAACCAATCAGAGTCCTCTGTAGCCAATACGGTGGAGTAAACCATACTGTATGTTTAGAAATGTTGTGTTAAATAGAGTAAGTTCAGATATGATAAGATAATACTTTTTTGATCTCCAGAGGGGGAAGTGTGATGTTGCAGCAGCACAAAGACGAGTAAGAATGGGATGTGTTGTTCCAAATATGAAGAACATTTCCTGCAGCCAGTTTTAAAAAAAAATGATGAATACCAGTACCAGAACACTTGTCTCTGTTCAAGTTTGTCAACTGCACAGAGCCAGAAACCAGGTTTCCTTGGTATTTGTAAAATGTGTTTTCTGCAAACATCTGAAATATAAATAGGCGTCTGAAAACCCATCTCTCAATTCTCTAAAAAGCCAATTTCTGTTCTACCAAATGCTAAAGAAGGACACAACAGTCAACATTCTCCCTCGTTACTCGGGAAGGCGGCTGCTATGTGAACGATTACCCAGCAGCCTTTGTGTCTGGGGAATTCCCAGAGTGTCCACTGATTGTTTAGATGTGTGTTTTTTTTTTCTGCAGAGCTGCAGGTGTACCACTGATTACCTGGTCATCTGAGGGGACGTGTTAACAAAGGCATTTGTGTTTCCAGGCGGGACACCGCGATGATACAACTCCACACCCGGCTGGAAAACAGCTGAGAGCAGCCATTCACATGGAAATGAGACACCTTTAACAATCAGTTGACCTCCAGCTCACACGACAAGTCTGACTCCACCCGGTCTGTAAACACACACCTTCACCTGGATCATCGTTTAGCTTTGAATAAAGACGATAAAGTGGTGATGCAACCTGATCAAACAAACGCACTTTTAAAACAATAAGGAGAGAATGTGCTATTGTCATCCATCTCTGCCTAACACACACACAGTAACACACACACAGTAACACACACACACACACCACACACAGTATCAGTAATGTGGCCTCTCGAGCTGCAACATAATAACTTCCACTCAGCATTCAAATGGAAATCAGCTCCGTCGTCCATTTAAACGAACATCTGCTGCTGTGTGTGTGTGTCTGTGCAAGAGTGATGATAGCACCAAGTGAAGGACATTCACTGTTACCCCCGCCACACACACACACACACACACACACACACACACACACACACACACACACACACACACACACACACACACACACACAACACAGCTAAACACTCAAACTCACAAACACACCCACCCACACACACACACACACACACACACACACACACACACACACACACACACACACACACACACAGCTAAACACTCAAACACACAAACACTGAGTCTGAGTTAAACTGTCGTTGTGCACACACACACACACACACACACACACACACACACACACACACACACACACACACACACACACACACACACACACACACACACACACACACACACACACACACACACACACACACACACACACACACACAAACTCTTACCTTATCCCTCACTCTGTGGGCATGATGTCGGGAATAGTTAACGAGCTGTTTAAGCCACAATTATTGGAGAGTGACGCACTAACGTTGCTGTTAGCTGAGCTTCAGAGAGCTCAGTACCTTTGTATAATGTGTCTCTGCATGATAACAAACTCCAACTCGTTCCCTTATAAATATGTTTCTGGCAATTGAGTATCACTTTGGTTTAAACTGTTTTTTATCCCTCCTGCAGGGCGCCTAAAAATATTTAATGGTCACTCCAGTTTGTTGTGTTGGGTGCATGAAGTCGGGGAACTAAGACAAGAGATTATTTAAAGTGAAAGATTTAAATCAAAGCAACACAGCCCAGATTTTCCTCATGATGTTTTCACACATGCAAGATATACATGAAAATCTCCCAAAATTTCCAGTATGGGCAGCATGTGCAAACGCTCACAGCCGTATATTTCCCCCCGACTTTAACTGGACCTTTTCCCGACAGCCTTCTGGTAAAATGTCCGCATGACGTCGGGTGAAGCAGATGTTTGAATCCAGCGGGAAATATTCAAGAAAATTCACCACAAGCTAGCAGAATGATGAAATTTAAATGACATTGCCCACAATTAATCCGCTCCATACTCCTTTCTACTCACCAGTAAGTTACTTTACACTCATGTGTTGATACTGTGAATATCTCCAATTACAAGTAGAATTGATAAATAAACA